TTAAACTACATGAGCATAAATACTCCTGACTGGTCTCAGAGGGGACATTTTTTATGCCTTCTTAACTTTATTACGAATTCTCAGGCTGAAACCATAGGCCATTGTTCTCCGGCAAATCAATACAACACCATCACTGTATCCCCTCAAAGAAAAACAACAAAAACTCTGATCCATGTGAAGCTGCTCTTAGGAGCCTGTGATCTCCCCTGGTGCTGCAGAGAGCCTGGTGCTGGGCCAGCTAGAACGCCCGAGCACCTTCCTGCCATCTCTCAGTTGATGTTTACTAAGCATTCTGAGCCAATACGACCCTGACAACGAAAAGGGCAAGATGCCTGGGCAGCTGGGCTGCATCTTTCTCATGCAACCTGACCCCTTGGCAGTCTTTCCTCATGAGGCTGATTTCATTGAAAACTTCTGCAACGGAGGGCTCCCTTCGGTGTTCTGGAAGCAGCAAGCCCAAGGCAGGCTCGCTCTGGAGCTCCTTCCTCCCTGCTATCAACAGGACCCCAGCTAACCACAAGTGACCCAGATAAACAGGATACCAACCCTCCCCAGAAGTCTCACGGCGCCACGCTGGCCCCCAGATGTGACTCATACGCTATGGCCGACTGGTGGGGGACACTGCAGCCGCCATCTTTTGTCCTTCCCACCACCTCAGAGGCCTGCCCCAGGCTGCTACAGTCACTCCCCCCACGACTCAGGAACAGGTCCACACACACGTCTGGATACAAGCAGCTGAGGCTACTACATCTGCCTCCTGGCACCCAGAGGCCAGTCCCTTTTCCACACCAAACCCAGTGCCAGTGCCCCTCCCGTGTGACAAATCTCTGCCTTCAGAGCTACTGTAGGCCAGCCCGAGTGGGGGCTGGGGCAGGGTGTGGCTACCCCACCAGCCCAGCCACTGGACACACAAAGCCCACCCTCCTCCCGAGTGGCAGCTCAGAGCAAGCCCACCAGCGACACCCCAGCTTTGAATCCAGCAGAGCACTTCCCACAGGCACATCACCCCCCCCTCCCCAGAAAATCAGTTTATCTCCAATGGCACAATTCTCTTGACTCACTCAACAGTTCCAGTTGACATCTCTTCCTCGAAAACCTATTTGGGAAACTGCGGTAGTGATACAAGTTACACACCAGGAAAGATCAGTGAGCCCCAGGCTAAGAACCATTTCTGTGCAGTGAGGATGCTTCCAGAAGCCATTTACCTACACACGGATGGAAATCCCCTCCTTACTCTTGGGACAGCACGAGCCAGCTGCCAGTCCCGCCCTAAGAGCCTGTTGCACAGGAGAAAAACTAGGAGACAAAACACTGCATATAAAATTGTTAGAACATTCAATAATGGGTAGTGATAGCCCGGAGATTTACCACACAGTGAAAGGAATTCTCAGTGGGCTTCAGCTCTTCCAGGTCAAATAGTTGAATAGTTTGGAACCATCCTGATTTTCCACATCATCAGCAAAAAACCTGTCTTACGCTCCCCCTGTGAGTTTCCTTCCAGAAAATAATTTATTCAGTCCTCAATTTAAGCACAGTTTAAATCCAGACAAAATAATAAATAGCTTGTGATTTTTTTAGTTTCACAAAGAAAGAAGCAGAATGACATCCAAGTTCATGGCCTATAAGCAAGCATGTAAGTAGGGCAGGGATAGAAAAAAAAAAGTTATCAAATTAGAAAGAAAATCCTCTAAGAGTCCAAGGCAGGACGAGGAATGGCAAACCTTCTATCAGGTTGAATTGGGAGGTTGTGGGGAAGACCCGTGGTTTGAGCGTGTCCGGCAACTGTTAAAACTCAAACACTAGGCTGCAGGCCGCTCAGCACGGCTATGAAACAGACCAGTTCCTTAAGTGCATCATGCTTCGTCCGTTTATAACGCTTCAGTCGGCTAAGTTGTTTTTTTTCCACATACCTTTCATGTTACAGTCTGTTGCTTTTGTACACATTTCTCATATTGGGGTTCTACAGGTAACAACCTGCTATTTCCGTAGAGAAAGCCATTGTTAAGAATATTATATCCAATAAATGGTATCCAGGTAAATATAAAGACGTGTCTCGTTCATTACTGACAATGTCACAAAAATGGGGAGAGGGAAACCCCTTATCTGTATTCTCACCCATTTATAGAGGCACAGGGAAGATCTGAGCAGTCCATAAGAATAAAAAGAGTGGTGGTCAGGGGTCAGGTGCTATCAGTCCACACAAACCAGTCAGGTGATGGCACAAGAGAGAAGGTGTCTCTTAACATGTGCGGGGGGGGGGGGGAGGGGGCGGGAGGGGGGGGGGGGGGACCAGATACTTGTTTTGAACAATGTAAATGTATAACCTATCCAAATATTTTTTTTTGAAAACTCACCTTATTTACAAAAGAGAAATTAAAAAAAGCATATGGGGGTAGAAACGTGGACATCAGATTTCTCCAGAATGAAAATCTGAGTGTAGTAGAAATTTGCAGATTTTTGAAAAACAGAATCCAATTTCATAAAGAACTACAGAAAATACAAAGAAAAACAGATATATAGAATGGTAATAAGGGGTCTTTATTCTTACCACCTTCTACCCATATCAAAGCAAGTAGGCAGAAAGTAATTACCTAGAAGACCCCAATTAATAACATACTATATGTTGGCTAAATGAACATAACAAAAAAATAATCAAAATGGATATGTATCAAATTGAGATACTTCAAACATACAGAATATGCCTTCTTTCAAAGTGCCTCTGAAAAAGAAAGCTATATACACAGACTATATATAAAACTATATATAAAAAAAATGAGGGGGGGAATTGGAGGGAGAGATGAACCATGAGAGACTATGGACTCTGAGCGACAAACAGGGTTTTAGAGGGGAGGGGGGCGGGGGGATGGGTTAGCCCGGTGATGGGTATTAAGGAGGGCACGTACTGCATGGAGCACTGGGTGTTATACGAAAACAATGGATCCTGGAACACCACATCAAAAACTAATGATGTATTGTATGGTGACTAACATAACATAATAAAATTTAAAAAAATAAAACCACAAAAAAATAACACTATATATACAACTAAACTATATATATAACTATTATATATAACTATATAAATATAACTATTATATATAATTTTATATATTAAGCCACAAAGTAAAACTCAAATTCCAAATGGTACAACAAACCAGAGGTTGTGTCTTTGGGGAAATTAAAACACAAGTCAAATCACTAATCTCACTAAGGAAAAAGATGAAAAGCACATACACAAAGCACAGGAACATGTAGAATCCAACAGTCTACTGTAACCCAGTGAGAGGTCTCAGGAATATAAGGATGGTTCAATATTTTTAAATCTACTCATTCAAGTCACCGAAATGACAGATTTTCAGGAAATATGCCATATTAGGATTACCAGAGACACTGAAAAGACATTTGAGAAAAGTCATTATCTATTCCTGAGTTTTTAAAGATCTGAAGGCCGGAAACCACAGGACTCGAGAGATGCGAACATCATTTGTGGAAAATTAAACTCACCTACGGCAAGATCTTATAGGCAGTCCATTTTTGGCTATATTGCACTGCAATAGCAAACCACGAGAGGATTATTTCTTACTCACATCTGGGGGTGAACTCTGGCTCTGGCTCTTCCCTGGGGCCCTGGGCTGATGGAGTGCCTGCTCCTGAGTCACAGCTGGTCTTGTGGCAGAAGGAAAAGAGATGGGGGGGGATTCGTAAAACTTCCGCCCAGAAGGGCAGGAGCCATTTCCGTTACCATTTCATTGACAAAGTCACCCCACGGTATGGCCAAGGCTTCCATCAGGAGGATGGGAGGACGTCTCCAGGATTTTGTCAATGAGAAGGGGCATGTACTCTTGCCACAGATGGGGCTCGTGAACAGGATCTACAACAGACTGAGAAATGAAATGAAGATGAAGGTCAACATTGATCATGGGGGCAAAAGGGCTGTGAGATGTGACTACACTCTGATTTGGAGATTTAAAAAGTTAAATCTAGCAAATTTAAAGGAATATGCATTTGTACAAAAGGTAAAACACTCATGAAATGTATAAAGAGAGGACAATCTATGACCCACAGACCCAGTTCCTGAGGTGGATGTTCTAGAAACTATACGGAATAAAGCTGAGAATTGCCAACATCAATAAAATCAACTGCACTTTGTCTCTGTGCCCTTTCCCCCCAAAGCTTTGGAGCTTTAATTACCTTTTGATCGGGCTTTCCTTACAGAGAAAATTCCACTCCTGTGCGGACCTTTGTAGCTGGTCTTCTCCTCGGGCCCAGTTAACCTGCTTCTCTCCAGAGACACAAAATGCATGTGGTCTCCTAACTCACTTGGCTCATGTTCACGTGCGTCTGCTGAGTTCAAGTTCCCGCACACATGTGTCTAAGCTCCCAACCGGCAGACCTAGCTGTGGTTAATGCCTACTTGTCTTCCAACTGCGTGATCAGCATCAAACACCCTTCTGTTCTGGAGGCTAACTTTAATATACTTCTCTTTGGCACAGTCGTCAACATGCCAGCAGACTGGGTCTTTCAGGGCATAAGGATATGCAAACACATTCTCAGGGCTGTTCTAGAAAGACTGATCCTCCACCAGACACCTCTAATAGAGTGGAATTGGAGTCTTGAAATATTTTTTTTTTTTTTTTTTTACTTTGATGTGAGCCCAACAGCTGAGGAGAAAACTTTTCACGTGGCCTCCTGGGCTTCCAGGAGCGTCACTCCAGAAGTGAACACCAGCCTGACAGCAGGGCCTGGAAGGCCTGAAGTCGGGAGGGGAGGTCATAATTGAAAACACATGAGGGGAAGAATTTCTGCAAGGTCCCGGAGTGGCTCAGAGGACAGCACGGGGGGGCAGGAGCGGGAAGTGGGAGATCTGTGTCTGTCTGTGCAGCTCCAGTACAGAAATATTTGGTTTTGTGTCTAACTCCAAAAGGCACAAGTGCAAGAAAACATCCCCACGCGGCAGACGCCCAATGACGACACCACAGGCCCACGCGCTTAGGTAAAAAAAAGATGTATTATTTCAAAGTGGGAACAGTTGTACGTCACAAAATTCACTGTGAATCTTCAACTAAATAAATAATCAAATGTATAGCCTCAAAAGACGTGGCGTTTCATCTCTAGCTCAACGGTCGCGTTTTGACGTTGTTTCTCTTGGGCTTTCGCCCTGGTCAGCAGACTACTTCTTTGCCATTTGGGTTCTTTTCCTTTCTTCTAATAAGGAGACCACATTCTAGATAAACAAAAACAGGTGAATGTCATCCAAGGTTTGCGGTTATTTTAAAGTACCACAAAATTAGCCTCGAAAATCCAAAAGAATATCCCAACCTGTCTGTCAAAAACTCTGGCCATTTCTAGGACACCTTTGCCGAACTGGAAGTGAAAACAACAAAGATTACATGTATATAATAATATTCAACATATATATGTGGGTGGGTGTGTTCTTTCTTCTCCTCCAGGGAAAGGCTTTAGATAGAGTTCCTTACCTCATTTTTTACGCTTGCATCTGCTCCTTTGTCAAGAAGTAACTGGACTAATGCCTCGTGATTATTTAACACGGCCACCTGAGAAACAAAAGACAGTGGGGCGTGAGCGAGTCTGCCTTCCCCACGGAGGACGAGGCCAGAGGCCAGGGTAGACCCCATGCAGGTGGGCCCGCGGAAATCGCCCAGAGGCTTTCTCAAGAAGGCAGAGCCAGCCAGGACCACTGTGGCTTCACACGACAGACGCATGCTCTCACTCTGCAGCGAGGCTGAGGGCAAGGAAAACGGAAGTGGTGTCTGCCTTCCACCGCACTACAATGACATGAGAAACGCTAGGCCAGGCCGGCCCAAGAAAGCAGCGCATTCTCTGTTGAACAGATCTGTTTAAGATGCTACAATGGCCCGGGGGACCAGGGCTGGTAATCCTTAAAGAAATAGTTGTAAAAAGAACAAAAATACTGTAGCGACATTGTCATGCCTTTATTAACAGGCCAGTGGGGAATATATAGACAGCCAAAACCCAGGGCTCACACACAGCTGAATTCACAAGAATTGCCTAACTATAGAAGCAGCTCCGACCTTTAATCCCACACAAAGCCGGGCTGTGCTCTGCAGAGAGGCATACCATGAGCGGGGTCTTTCCATCTTTATCTCTCATGTTCACGTCCGCTCCGGCTTCGATCAGCACAGAGGCTGCACTCTGGTTTCCGGAGACTGCAGAGACTCTCATGAGTGGGGTCCATCCTGAGCCCGTGTCCACAGCATCTACCTTTAGGCCAGAGGAAGAGCTGCTCTTAGTCCAGTGTCTTTTTCCTTAAAAATATTCATCAGAAACTTATAAAGGAACGTTCACTTGCCCAAATGCCTCTGAGTTGGATAGCCCATAAGGATTGTGACTTGGTAAATAGGGATCCAGGGAACTGTGCTAAAGTAACTCACATTCACATGCAGTGAGAAGCTGTGTTAGGATTTTGTAGGGTGCTGACAGGCCCCAGGACACCCCGCTGGCATCTTCCTCTACATTTGGTTCAAAGGGTTGAAAGATGGGGGCACCTGGGTGGCTCAGTCAGTTAAGCGTCTGCCTTCGGCTCAGGTCATGGTCCCAGGGTCCTGGGATCGAGCCCCGCATCGGGCTCCCTGCTCCGCGGGGAGCCTGCTTCTCCTCCCCTCCCCCCGCCCCCGCCTCTGCTTGTGCACTCTCTCTCAAATAAATAAAATCTTAAAAAAAGAAAATGGTTGAAAGGCAGGATAGAGAAATGAACCACCCTACTCTTAGCTCCATGTGAAGTCCTGACCTTACTTTGTTTTGATTAACTTTCCTCACTTTTTTTTTTTTAAGTTTACTTTGTGTACTTCTATCTCTGTAAGCAGCTTTAAATCCTTTCTGGAACAAGACAGTAATATATATACAGACCCTTATACCTATCAATATGGATTAATTTTAAGCAGGAGAACTACAGGTAGAATCAACACAAAGCAACCAACTTTACTACATAAATTCCAATCCGAGAAGTTAGCCAACCTAATGCCTTCTCCAAATTTAATTTGACTAGTAATAAGATGGCCATTTCCCAATAATCCAGTGATTGAGAGCTCTCAAGGTCATGTTTTAAAAGCCACATTCTAGAATATGTGAGCATTGCCTCCTCCAGTTCCAGTGAAGGCCTCACCAATCCATGAAGAATGATACCAAAGTAAATATATATGTGTGTGTATGCGTGCACACACACACCCACACCCCTAAATTCTGTTACAGAAGAATGATTCAAACATGATAGTAAAACACCAGAATGGACTAAGAAACTAGAAATTGCCAAAGTCCCTGGAATGTTTCAGGTTATTTATATGTATGAGATTATCGACTCAACTTCATTAGGATTTGCAGTTCTTTCTCATGCGAATAACAAATAACCTCTGAGCAGCAGACTCCATTATGTTTAAATAATAAAATCATCCCCTTGTTTTACAGGGTGCTTTAGGCGGTCTTTGGTAAAATTTCACCCCCATTTTCTCTTTTGGGTCTGAGGGTTAAATGGGATAGGTGCTTTTATTGCTGCTCTACAAGTGATTAAACCACATCTCCAAGAAGTCAAATGCCTCTCCTGAGGTCACGTGGCTCATGAAATGTAGAGATGGTCCCCCATGCAAGTCGGTCACTGTCAGTAGAAAATCATTATATTCAAGAATGGTGGCCACAATGCCTGGCTTGGCTCCCAGATCCCAACTATTGCCACCCAAACATGGGGTGGCCTCTCTGCCGAGAACATGGAGCCACTCCTGTTGATAGCCTCTATCTGCCACCAGCCAACCACACGGAAATCTTTAGTGGCAACATCCATGTAGCTGGAGGGCTACAGAAAAAGATAGAATCTACCCACAAATAAACGTGCTCACATCTGAAGCCCAGAAAGTCTAGGTTTCCAAAATTACAGTATTTAAATGTTCATGGCAGAGACCTGCCCTTCTTTCAGCAAAGGTCAACCTTCATTTTTAACTACAGACTTTTACTGGAACGAAAGCATGAGCAGAGTTCATCATAAACCAAACAAGACGACTGTGGCTCTCACCACCGCACAAGGCAAGTGGGGCCCCGCCCTACCACTGAGGCCCACATGCTAATCCTTCCGACCTCTTGTGCATGTTTCTAAAAGAAAAAAAAGAAAAGAAAAAAAAAAACAAGAAATGTAATAAAAGGGAATTATCTTAACCACTGAGGTTTTCCCTTCAAAGGGCCCTTTCTTCAGCCCTCTGCAGGCAGCAGTGGGAACCAGTGAGACCCCACAATTGCTAAAAGCCAGGCTTTCCCTCAATCACATTTCAGAGACAAGCTAGAACAAATCAGCTAACATCTTCCAGGAGACAGGACTCTTCTCAATTTGAGTTTATTTTCCAGGTCATCAGTTTAATTTCTCCATACTCTACACCATCTGGCAATCTCAATTAAGATAGCATTTTGTTTACCATTCCTTATTTCCACGCCTTGAAATTTTTATTTAACTTCTTTCGAGTCTTGAACTAAAGTTCTCAAAGTTATCAGCCGTTACCATAATTGAGCTAATTCTGTTGACTCATCTTCAAACAGCTACAGAAGTCCAAACAACGCCGGTTCTATTTGCTAAATCAAATCTGCACCATCTGATAACACAAGACCAGAAGGGTATCCAAACTCCTGCTTCAAGGTAAAGGCACGAGGAGCTGAAATGCTCTGTTTGTGATATGGTCAGTTTGCTCTTGGGAAATGTTTTATAATGGCTAATCTTTAAAGCAAGCCACAAATAAAAATAGTCTCATTCTAAGAGCAGTAAGAAGCACTATGGCTTTAAGAGTTCTTGATGTCTTGTGTCTCCAGGACTTAAGCTAGCATCCCGTCCATGGCAGGTGCTCAGTAAAGCTTTGTGGACAGATTGAATGAAGAGACAATGAGTGAATAAGCAAAGGCATAAACAAAGTAGAAGCATCATCAGGTCCAGCTCTGGATTCAGCAGTTTCTTTTTTCCTACACAAGACAAACCTCCATGATGATCTGAAGCCTCACTATCACATCAATTCTATAATGACCTTTTTTCCCCAGGGCTTCAGGAACCTTCTTACTGGTAAGTCAAAGAGCTTTCTGCAGCATTTCTAAGTTCAGCTAATCAAAGGCATCCACATAAGGTTCTGCTTCTCCCAAACCCTGTGGAACGGCACTGCAAGGTCTCAATGACAAGTGTGGCTGAGAAGGAAGATCCCGTACCTCACAGCCATCTTTTATCATCCACTCGATCACATTGCAGTGGCCTCCATCTGCAGCCCAGTGCAGAGCCGTGCAGCCTCCTAGGTCTCTGGTCTCCCAGGAAGCGCCGTGTCTTCGGAGATATTTCACAACATCTAGGTGTCCCGCGTAACATGCAAGCATCAGACTGCAACATAGGGAGGAAGCAGCAATAGCTCTAAGTAAAGTCACCAAACTCAGGTCCCCGTTTTACTCTGCCTGGTTTAAACCAAGAAATCCTAATGTGAGTAGAAAAGCCATGAAAATCATTCATATGAAATGTCGTATCCATCAGCTCATAGACGGATAAACAAAATGTGGCATATCCGTACGACAGAATATTCTTTGGCCATAAAAAGGAAAAAGAAATACTGATATTATGCCACTACATGAATGAACCTTAAGACGTTACGCTAACTGAAAGAAGCTGGACACAAAAGGCTACATATTGTAGGATTCTGTTTATGTGAAACGCCCAGGGGAGGCAAATCGACAAGGGACAGAACTGGCAGGTTAGTGGGTTCCAGGGACTGGGAGAGAAGAAACGGCGAGTGCCTGCCGGTGAGCACAGGGCTTCTTTCTGGGCAGATTAAGAATGTTCCGGAATTCGACCACAGAAGCAGTCATATAGCATTGTTAATTTATTCTTTAAGTGCCAAGTTTTAAAGGAGTGTGTGAATTTATCTCAGCTAAAAAGAGGGGATCACTGTAAATCGAGTAAAATATTGGATGTAAAAACATCCACAAGCCTGTGAAGATATTCTAAAAAGATAGAGGGGAGAAAAATACTCATTTGATATTATGATAGAATGGCTATTAAGCCAATTCCATACTCTAAATATTAGTATGTAAAGAAACTAATTAAACATTTCCTCTGCCTTTATAGAATAAAAGGTAGTCCATCCTCAGTTGATGAGGGAAAAAGCCCCTTTCACCCTAGCCTGCCAGCTCATCAATATGGAAGAAACTATGGAATTAGAAAATCACACTTTTGTAATTCCCAATTAAATAATTGATCTGGGCAAGGACCATCAGTGGATACTAAAATTATTGGGTAAAAGGTTAACGGAGAACAGAATATTCACACCATGATTACCCCCATAGGTTATGTGCTAATTTCAGTGGGAAACTCTATCTTTACAAAGGAGGGATTTAGCGGCCACACTCTAAGCAAATGATCAAACCTAGAATCACCAACTGTGGGACAACATGCATTCCTGATGGATCCAGCCTGGAGCCACAACACCAGCTCGTAAGTGTTCTTGCTAAAAATGTTAACCTGCTTCAAATCAAACCTTTAAACCTAATTGTAACTTTATTGGCAATAAAGGGACGAATGAACAAGTTAAGCACCGCCTCCCCAACTAGGAGATAATTAGGCAACTCAAGAACATAGGGCATTCTGTAGGATAATTGGTCTGGTCTCCTCAAAAAGTCAACGCTGGTAAAAAAAAAAAAAAAAAAAAAAAAAAAAATTTGAACCAAAATAGTGGATGGAGGACCAGGCTAGAATAAAAGAGACTAAACAGAACCAGCAGATGCAATGTGTGAGCCTTAGTTGGATCGTGGTCTTGTCCCCACCCCCCCAAACAGAGCCATGTAGACCGTCCTGAGGACAAGTGGGGAGACTTGCACAGCTAGAGCATCAGGGACGTCAGGACATTAGTGTGAAATGTCTTAGGTGTGGCAATGATACGGCGGTTATGCAGGTCAACGTCCCTACTTTTAGAAGAAAACATACTGAAATACTGAATGAAATATTGAGGAATATGATGCCTATTAACCTTGAAATGGGTAAGTAGGGAGAAAAAAGCTAATAAAAATGTAGAAAGAGAAGCAAATAGGGCAAATGTCAACAGCTGCCAAACCTAAGTGGTGAGTATATAAAAATATACCGTACTATTCTTTCAACTTTTCTAAATGTTTGAACTTTTCAAAATAAAGAGTTGAGTGGGGTGGGTGACGGGGGCAGCGAAGGAAGTCTTTCCAGTAGGGAAATTCTAGAAAGCTCTCTGAGTGATAAATAGAATGTCCAGCTCTGAGGCCCAAGAAACCTGAGCTGAGCTGGAGTGGAACCCGATGTCCACATCTCTGTATCCTTATGTAGGCCTTCATTTCTTGGAAACTCCTGGTAGAGAGCAAACATGGCCCTTCACCCGCCCAGGGTTTGAGGTGCTTGCTTCTGATGCATATTGCCAGATGCTTAATGCAAATGTTTAAGGCTCCCTTTAGATGCACTGCTTTCTAGAGAGATTATGTCAACTTACAGTTTTATCGATTGTACCTAAAAGTGTCCATTTTACTCGCCTATACCAACACTATCATCTTTTAATTAACAATAGGACAGTAAGGTTTTAATTTTTTACTACTAGCACTTTTGCATATTAATTTTTTTATTTATTCTGCTATGAATTGTCTTTGTGTAAACTGCTCTTTTCTACTGTGTATCTTGGGGGGTAGGTATGTGTATCTTCTTTATATTGAATATGCCAGTCATTTGTCTATATTTGCAAATCTCTCCCCAGACTACCCTTAACTTTGTAATTAATTTTTAAAAATGTGTTATGTACTTTTAATCTTCTCCTTAGTGATTTATTTCAGTGATTTTGCCTTTCTCATTATAAGATCAGATAGACATATGCTGTGGTTTCTATGGTTCTGTCTTTTACATTTAATTCTTAATTCTTCCGGAGTTAATTTTGATGCATGCTATAGAAGACCAGAATTTAACTTTTTTTCTTCATATAGCCTTTTCTAACATCTTCCTCATTAGTTTGTGTTGCTCCCATCATCACGTACTAAGTTCTGACGTACATGGAGAACTATTTCTAGTTCATTCTATACATCTTTTTTTTCAGTTATTTGTACCAGTGTCATACTACATTAATTACTGTAAGTTTATAAGGCATTTTAATAACTGTCAAAAGTCTTTCCACATTTCTCTTCAACAAAGTTAATAGCTGGTGTCATCCATTTGTTCTTCCAGGTAAATTACAAAACCATTTTGACAGGCTCCCAAGAATAATTGCATTTGAGGCTATGCTAGATCTATATATTCATTTAGGAAAAACAGAAAATTTTACAGCCTTCGATCTTGCCATTCTGGCATATGGTATAGGTCCCTTTTAAATCTTTAAATCTTTTAACCTAATTTTTATAGGTTTTTTTATACAAAATTTCTCACTTCTGTTAGATATTATTTATTCTATTTCCCTTATTATATTTATTAACTGATTATTGCTGTTATTTAAGGAAAAAAATTCTTTTTTGTTAAATAGTAGCTAGCCACTTTACTAAACCTCCTTATTAAGTCCAAGTATTTGAAAGCTGATTCACTTGGGCACTGCGAGAAAGGAGCCACGCCTCTTACTCCCATTTCATCTCTTACAGGGTTGACCAGCACTCCAAAATACCAATCATGAAATAACAAAATATAATGTGGAGTTACCATATGCCAGGCACTGTTTTGCTCACTTTTCTTGTATTAACTCATTAAACATTCACAATTCTATAAGTACTTCTATTATCCCTATCTTGTAGATGGGGAAATTGAGGTCCACAGAGGTTAAGTGACTTGCCCAAGGTCATACACCCTGACCACAGGGGAATCTGGATTTGACATCGAACTATCTGGCTCTCAACCACTCCTATGGACTTCACTACTAACTTTTAAAAGGAATCTGTCAGTACTAAGAATGATACTGGCTGATCATCTGAAATGATAAACAAGCTTTTATGATGCAATCAAAGGATTCACTCCATCAGCAGAAGTTAGTCCTCCTATGCACCAGACACTGTTACCAGGACTGAAAGCATCCTGTACTTTAAGAGAGTAAGATATTTTAACTAGTAAAAGGTGCTGAGTTAACCCAGTTTTTGTTTTGCATCTACACATACAGAGGTTTTCACCTTTGGTCTGCTAATGGGAAGCATTAAGAAATTTCCTAGACATCCCTACCGTCCTGTGTGATCCTCCGAGTTAGGATGGAAGAGACATAAATACCTGTACGCATATAAACATATGAAGAGATTTCTTTCTCTCTCAGACTTCAGCAGTAAGGTTATCCTCTGGGATTCCAACTATCCCTCTGCTAAATAAGTTATCTACAATCCTAACCTACAATTCTCATAAGCTCATGGGCACAACAGTTAAGCCACAGAGTCTATTTCATAGATAATCCCTTAATAAGTTTTCTAACTTCTTGCATGGATATTGGTTGTTTTAGATTTTGTGTCTTTTTGTGAAGATTTATATTTCCCCAGAAAACGTACCATCGAAAAGATAATTTCAGTGAAATTAGCACATCTATTAGCGTAGACACAGCACACCATTTTCTTTTTACATTTAGATTTCCTCTATCACCACTGTTATGCTCCCTTCCAAAAGTCTATTTTTTTCTTCTTAAATTTCCAAAAGATTTTCTCTACAGCCACAGCCATGTAGCATTTCTAAATTCTGATTTTTTTCTTCTTAGATTTATAAGCAATTGGCCCATTTTATTGTATAAGCTTTTTTTTTTAAGAAGCAGCTCTTACATCTTTTGTTCTTATATGTTTCAACAATCTTCCTATTTTCTAATCAATTTCTTTTAATTCTTTCCTCTTTCCTACCCTTCAAGGTTATTTTCTTTGTCCTTTTTAAGTTGGTATTATTCTTTTTCAAATGTCTTGAGTTGATGGCTTACCTCCGAATTAACCTAAGAGTTACATGGAAAACTCCCTTTTAAATTGTTAAATGATTTTTTTAAGATTTTTATTTATTTATTTGAGAGCGAGAGAGAGCACAAGCGGGGAGCCCCAACACACTCACGGCTTGATCCCAGGACCCTGGGATCATGAGCTGAGCCGAAGGCAGACACTTAACCAGCTGAGCCACCCAGACGCCTCAAACTTTTAAATGATTCTTTGTAATGTTATTTAAAATCTATTACTGTGTGTGTTCAGAGAGTGTAGCAGGTAGGCTTTCTGAGCTCAGAAATTGACACTTTCCTTGTGGCCCACCAAAGGTGACCTGTGTTTTTGTAGCTCCTGTTTAGATACTAGTTTGCAGGGTGCATACCTTTGAGCTCTATGTACCATGTGATTCTAAGCTCCTGGAGCAAAACCCCTGCATTTTTCTGTGTTGTTCTACCCAAGCACCAAGCACAGAGCCTGGCATGCGGTAGCCATTCAACAAATCCTGGTTGACTAGAATGAATCAGTTAATTAAACCTAATACTAGAATACTTATTATTTTTAAGTCTTTGTAGAGCATTCCTTCATCTGTCTGAATATAGGTTTCCAAGTATCCTGCTCTTTTTGTCAGTTTCTCCTGTGCTGCACTCCATGTTTTCACTGCAGGGAAGGTCTTGGGGTCGTAGCTTTGTGACTGCTATGTGCTTCTTTGGGAACACCTAAGAGTCTTAGTTAAGAGAGTTAGGCCAAGTGTAAGGAGAGCCCTGGTGGGGGCCCCAGCTTTCACAAACACAGCCCAATGCCCAGCACGGCGCTGGTGATGGCTACGGTTAATAGCTACCAGTCCCTGAGCTAGGGCAAATGGATGCTGTAGAAAGTATAGCCCACTTCATTCCTGTGGAATGAAGGAATAAGTGAACAAATGAATAAGCCAGGCTTTGTTCATCGACATCTTTCCTTTGGGATACAGTCCTGTCAAAAGAAGCTGCCGCAAATATTTGGATTAAATCAAAAACCATCTGGGCACAAGTCTGGTAACCGAAGTATGGGAACATCTTGGAGCATGTCCCACCACCCACCTGTCCTTGCCACTTCCGTTCTTCAGATTCACATCTGTGCCATTAGAGACGAGGATTTTCACAAGCCTGAAGGAAACAAACTGGAAGGTAACTTGGATACACAGCTTTGATGGGTAGGAACCCACAATAATGCGGGAACGGTGCACAGCACCATATTGAAGACACATCTCCACACTTTCTTTTCTGCCTTCAGAGGCCAGCTGGCTTCAAAGTCAGGACATTATTAAACCAGAAAACTACCTCTTCAACATCAAAAAAAAGGGGGGAGCCCTTCTCCCACACATAAATTATTCACTGAAAACAAAATATACCACACGAAACCCATTGTTCTGTCAAGCTAATTTACTGTCGCCTTAATGACCATTTTAATATATTTCCAAATGGCAGCATTTAGTAAGATATACGTCTTTCTTTTTTCAAAATGGCACTTTAGTAGCTAAATATAAACATGATTGTAAAATAAGCCATTAGTGTGCATGCTTCTTTGTGGCATAGAGATAATATCCGTGAAAATTATATCTTAGCAACCTCTCAGGGAAGTTTGTTTTTCAGAATTAGTATCCTTCCCCCCCTTTTTAAATATAAAATATTTATATTTTAAATATATTTTATGGGACATATAAAATATATTGCAAAATATAATTAAGTGGCTACCTCTCTTCCTCACCATAGGATTATATATTTTTACATTCTCTGCCACATGGTATAGAACTTCAGGATTCAAACAGCCGAGTTTTCGTGCAGCCCGTACGTGGTACAGTTTTGGAAAGCAAGAAGAAGGGGGCTCCTGCACACACACCTTTTCCCCTCCCATCCGTGCTCTGATCGGAGCCTTTGGGAGAAGTGGAAGGTTCAGCCTCTTAGAGATAAGAAAGGAGGCGGCCTACCTGGTGTAGCCTTTCTGGGCAGCGACCATCAGAGCAGTAAAGCCAAACTTATTGGGAACATCAACCTTAACATTTCTTGGGGGAAAACACAGAGAAAAGAGATTAACATGCTCGGCATGGCTCCCCGTACTTTCACAGCTGAGGTCTCTTGCAGGACACAGGTGGCTAAAATGATTCATTTTCCCAAAAATTCCAATTTCTTCTGGGCCGTTAAGTTTCTGTTGTCTTAAACGGCCCTGCCTAATATTTTTCAAGGATTCAAATTCACAAGGAGAGAAATTGCTGTAGTTTTGTTTAAAACAGGCACTCCCTTCAACTCAAAACCATGATATGAGCAGATAAAACACCGGGACGGGCCCCACACCCTTCTAGAGCAGAGGACACAGGAGTGTAGACACTCCGCTCCACCACGAGCCTGGACTGCGGGAGGCCTGCATTTCTCCCTTGATGCCACTGGAGGAAGAAAGCAGAGCTCTTAAATACCAGCTTAGAAGCGCTGGCTTTTTGTAGGATCCTTCTCTCCTCCAACTTATGAGCCCTATTCGCAAAATGACTGGGCTTCTAAGGTACTCAAAACTACTGAGTCAAGAAGAATCGAAGTAACATTGTTCACTTTGCATTAGGAGGCAGTTTCAAATATCCCACGGCAGCAACTGTATTTGCTACTGTTCTTCTAATGTTTTACCAACCTTTTGAATCAGAAACTGCTGATTTAATGATTCCTTAGATAGCTGTGGGCACTTGGGGGTGAAATTTGCCCAAATGCTATGGCATATAAGCAAGAGTCAGAAATTATTTCTGGGAAGAAAATAGGATACCCAGACTTCTAAGTTTCATTTTCAATTTCCATTAGATAATTACAAAATATAGCATTTACACAGGGCTAAAAGTCATCTTTGTTGACTATGCTGGACTCACACCAGTCACCGGAGATCTATTTTGGAGCAATTTCAAAGGCATGGAAAATTGGGGGGAAATAAAGTAAGTGCAATTCCATGCACTTGCTGGGCATTAAAAATGTTTAAACTTTAAGGCAGGGCTCTCTCACCCTCCTTGAAGTATTCGAACCAGCAAATCTTCATCATTCACATTGACAGCTCGATGAAAGTGCTCACTACTTATGGGTTCTCCTGAAGAAAGAAGATGGAAAACAGTCATCCGAAGTCGAATGAAAGAAGATTCATTCCGGCTATGCGCCTCCCACAGCTTTGAGTAGGTGTTCACGCTCCCCTCCAAGAAGGCACTTGGCCATTCAGAGAAGTATAGCTTACATTTCCTATTCCACTTCTCTTACTGAGAAAGACGTTGTTTCCATATATTAAGAACATTCAGGTTGTCCTCAGGACTTGGGACATTCTCAAGTTATAAAAGTACTGCTTTGCGAATGGTATTTTGATAGGTGAAAATAATCCTTCCAGATTTCCTAAGACTTACTAAATGTCTCTTACAAGCAAGGAAAAGCCCCACAATCGTCACAACACGCTAGTTTTGTTTGCCAGAGTCATTAAACTACTTGAACAAACGACAAAAAGAAATTGCTGTAACATCTGACATCCAAAATTTCAGTGCTTCCCAGGAAGATAACATTCATGTTGGCCTTGTCTCCCAGAGCTTTGAGGGGTGGGGGGCAGGAGGAGCTCATTCACAGAGGGGGAACACCGTGAGAAAGCCTGATTTGGGGAGAGGCTGCCAGGCAGAGAAGAGCAAGGAGGAGCTGCAAGGTACTCCAGGAACAAGGGGACGTGGGGCAGAAGGGAGGGCGTCCCTTTGTGCGGGGCGGGCGGGCGGGTGGGCAGGGGCGGGGGGGACCTTAGCTCCTCAAGGGGGAGAACAGGAAGGGCAGAAAGGAGCAGAGTGTGACAATAAAGTGCCAAGTGAGAGAAGCCCGTCTTTCAGGGCTTGCTTCATATTCTGTGAGTTTCTAATCGTTTGAATGATTCGGCATGAATGGAACACACGTGAAGCACTTAGCAGAGCACCGGGCATGTCCTAAATACCCGGCTCTGCTGGTGGTGGGAAGGGCAATGGTGGCTGGCCTTGTCTCCACGGTTCGCAGGCCCAGCCCCTCACACGATGAACGTACCTACCTGAGTGGGTCTCGTCCACGCATTCAACAAATGTTTACTGAGTAACTCACATGCCCAGTCTCGACACTGAGGGTCCCAGGGAGAACAAATCAAACATGTTCCTCTCCTTTGCCATTTACGCCGTAGCACCTGATTCCAACCTATCATCACCTTAAACCCTGAACGAAAACACCCATCTCCCGCCCTGTCCTCCCACATTGCCCCCGAGCCTGCTTCCGGGGGCTCACCTACCCCCTCACCTCCCTCTTCCAGAGATCCCCCGGCCAGTGCCCCCAGGTGGGCAGTAAAATTCCCTGTTCCTGCACCTATGGTAGAAAAACTCTCTGGGATGAGACCTTGGAGCTGACTGGAACTAAGGATTATAAACTCAGTACCCATCTGGGTCGGGTAAGTATGCTAGGAAAAGCTCCTGGGCCCTAGAGCCGCTTTTCTACTCGTTTCCTTGGAGGATTTTAGCTGGGCAAATTATAAACCAGGAAACCAGGGCACAGAAGAATGTAGTGATCACTAGCAGAATGACCTCTAGCTGATACCCTTCTTCTTCTGGTAAAAAAATAAATTTAAGCCGAGTGAAAACTGTTTTTGAAATAACAATTTTGTCTGCTAGCGCTTGCCAATCTCCTAAAGATTTTTTAGCCACACTGTACTTCCTTTTCATCATTCCACACATATTTTTAGACCAAAAGCTTCAAATAAAAGTATCACGATAAATTGTCAAAAGGGCAAGGCCCACCGCTTTCCCTGGCCTTCCAATGATAGATCGTGGCTAGGCTGGTGGTTCCACTGGAGGGCTATGGAAGGGAGCAGGGTTTTGTATACCCCCTGCCCCAACACCACCACCACCACTAAGAGGACATTTGGTAAAGCCTGGAGACTTTTTTGGTTGTCACACCTTAAGGGTTCATGCTACTGGAGTCTAGTGGGTAGAGGCCAGGGATGTTGGTAAACATCCTACAGTATACACGATGAGAATTATCCAGCCCTCAAATGTCAAAAGTGCCAAGGCTGAGAAACCCTGGGCTAGAATAGCATGGACTGAAAATGATCTACTGGGTGACGCATCCCTACTTTAGTGGACAAACTAAACCCCTGGAAAGTTTCCCTCCCTTCCCACCTCCCAGAAAGTAGGGGAAGAGAGGGATAGCGGTGGTATAGCCCACCAAACAGCCCCCTTTTGTGACTCTCAAACTTCAACGGCCACTAAAAATACAACAACAACTAATTTGCATAGAATCATCTAGGAGAACATAGGAAGCTCATCCTATCTCTACTAAATTTTAAAATATGGCATCCTACCAAAGGGTGGGCGCCTGGGTGGCTCAGTTGGTTAAGCGACTGCCTTCGGCTCAGGTCATGATCCTGGCGTCCCGGGATCGAGTCCCACATCCGGCTCCCTGCTCAGCGGGGAGTCTGCTTCTCCCTCTGACCCTCCTCCCTCTCATGCTCTCTCTCTCTCATTCTCTCTCAAATAAATAAATAAATAAAATCTTTAAAAATAAATAAATAAATAAATAAATAAATAAATAAAATATGGCATCCTAACTCAAGTCTTATTAACTAAGCTCTATCTAGGACTTGACACAATGCTTTTTCCATTCTTCAGACCACAAAACTGAGAGCCAGGAAGGCTGAGTGAGTAGAGCTCACACCGAGCCTTTCATAAGGTCACATTCCTTCCTTGGGTGTTTTAATACATGCCGAGGTGGCTGACCAATTCATTCTATGCTTCCAACCATATTACGCTTTGAAAATAAGCAACCTTCTTAAATAAGCAAATATGATCCCCCTGCACAAAGTGTTAAATGAAAGGGGACACTAAAGCCTAAAAGCTTCAGAAAAGTGCTAACTTCTTAAGAGGTTAAAGAACGTTCTAAAGGCACATGCAGTATCCCCGCGTATTTCTGCACCGACCCACCTCCAATGCACATCATCTGTCTTACCCAACCAGTCCAGCCCTCCCAGTGGGGGGTGCTTCCTGGTGCATCCTACCCAGGAAGCTCTGCAGCTTACAAATATTGGAAAGTGCAATAAATTCATTTTGTGCTTAGAGGCTTGAGGACCCTGCGTAGCAAAGAGTGGGGTATTTTGATAGTAGGACATACTTTAAATGAATGCATTGCCCTATTCCAGCTTCTGCAAAGGTAATCAGTTCCCTCATAACTTAATCTGAAAACAAAAGGACATCTCACGGGAGGGAAGGAACATAGCACAATGGTTAATCTATTCCTTGTTGGCAGAATTTCTGCAAAAGGAAGCAATAATTATCATTCGGGGCATAAACGCTCTTTCTCAGCATTAACTCATTAACCCCTCTCAGACCACTGCTGAGAAGGCAATGAGGTACTGAGGATTAGCGCCAGACCAGACGTGGATCAACCAAGGCACACAAAGGTCTCCGTTTATGTGAATCAGACAGAGGAACAATGAAAAGGCTCCTGTTTGCAGAGCAGAGCAGAGAAGTCCTTTCTCCCTCCCACTATAGGCAGGAATCACAGAGAGAGGAAATTCCAGGGTGAGCCAAACGTTGCACTCCTCCTACCCCTGAATCCTCGAAGACATGGTGGGCCTGGCCCAGGGGACTGCATCAAGTGCAACCGAATACAAAAAAGGCAGGCTTTGCCTCTGTGGGTTTGTTTGGCTAATGTTTACCCTGAGTGTTACAACAACAAACAAGTACTGAGTCGGTGCTGCCCGTGGGGAGGCTGTCCACGAGTGCCTGCCCCTGCCCACCCCCACTGGGTGGAACTCATCAGGTAGGGCCAGGGAAGGGGACATCCAGGAGGAGGGGAAAGCCATCACCATGTTCTACAGGAGGGTCATTTAGTGGCAGATGTGCCCGCAGATATTATAATGTGGCAGTTAACACCTTTCTGGGTGGAATTCAGGTCTGTTAGAAGCAGTGAATAAATGATGAGCTCATTGGAGGAGAGATTTGCCAATTAACAAGCAGCAGCTGCTTGTCTCTTTTTAAGGGCCCCACTGATTAAAATTGCATGCCTCATTTAAGCAAGAGACTCGTGTACTTTACCTGAAATTAAAAAAAAAAAAAGCTAAGCATCCTTTATTCAAACAGAGTACATGCTTTCATGATTCATTAAAAACACTTTCAAACTGAATGCAAATGATCAACCCACAGAAGCATTTTTTACTTATTTTGGAAAATATGCCCATTTTTAATTCTCTGTTTAGCATGATCTACCTCCTTGAGGGAGTCTGCCTTGGATATTATAAATATAATAATAGCATAAGGGAGCAGCAACCAGCAAGAAGAGGGACTCTTGCCACCCGGGAGAGCCCCCTGAGGCTGAGTCCATCTCTTCTGGAGCACAGCACTGTGACCAGACCGTGAAACGCGCAGGAAGCCCGGTTTGTGGGTCATCACCAGGAACCACATCTCCGTCACACCCTGGTCCCTGCAGGAGGTCTGGTCTAGCAACCCACGGAAGCCACGGACTGCAATCACAAATGCCCTGGACCCCCGGACCAGGTCTCCATGGCTCCCTCTCGGAAGCCAACTCAGCAGGAAGGCAGCAAAATCCCTGTCAGCTGATAGAAAGCTACCATGGTTTCTGCCTTCCCAAAGAGCTCCAAATGGTAGGCAACCACCCCCTCAACACGTCAGTTCTGGCCGGAAGGTCCTGCATCCCCTGTCCTAGTGTGGGTGTGGCAGGAGGAAAGATGCCAGTGGCAAGCTGAGGCTCACCGTGGCCGGTTCTGCATCCTGTTCGCCCTCACCGTGCAGGTGCAGGGGGACTCGCCCCAGCCCCTGGGACACACGTCCATCTCCCCACAGACGGGAGTGCGAGCTGAGAAAATCAGTGTTTCCTTCCTCATCCTAATTCTGCCTCTGGGCCTTTCCATTCACTGTCTGTCCACCCATTTACCTTTATCTTCTACACGAGACAGGACCGACTCATCACATCCTCCACTTTGGAAGCACGCAAGTCGGTGCGAGATGAAAAAATACACGTAATAAGATGCCCTGGGTGTTATCGGAGGAAGTGACACCCAGCCGGGTACTGGGGCAAACACAAGGAACTGCCCCTGAGCAGAGCTCTGCCTGGCGAGGAGCTCAACAGACAGAGGAGCCAAGGGGGCGCCGGGAAGGGGGGCTCCGAGGAGGGGGCGCTCCAGAGAGAAGGGGCAAAGGCAGAGGAGTGCAGGTGTGGCCTGTGGCTGGCTGGGGACAGCAGGACTGGAGGGAGCACACTGGCCCAGTGTCCCCTAGAGAGTCTCTATTCAAACAATAGGTTCCCCTTTGCCAACCTTTCTCCTGCCGCTGCTCCTCCTTCCTCTGTGCCTGCCCTCAGCATAGAGGAAACCAACACACACTCGGCGGCTCTACCTTTTCTTTCCCCTAAAAGCTCCGGAGCTCCGGAGCTCCTGTAGGAAAGAAATGCTTTCACAGTCACCACATGAAGGACAAGCCCCCTTTCCTGACCTGCGTCTCTGTAACTGGCCGCTGCACTTGGAAAGTCTCCTCTGAAATGATGTGTCTTCGCAGCGAGCGGAGCACCTTGGGGAAGGTACGCCCCTCTTAGCTGTCGCTGAATTCTCAGTTTGCCAAACTAAGACCCGACTCCCTAGTGCCTTGTTTGCAAATGAAGAGATAAGCTAACTCAAAACCTCAATCATCTTTAATCCACATAAAAATCTCTCCAAATAAGAAAAACCTTGAGAGACTCTTAACTCTAGGAAACAAACTGAGGGCTGCTGGACGGGAGGTAGGTGGGGGATGGGGTCCCTGGGTGATGGGCATTAAGGAGGGCACGTGATGGGATGAGCACTGGGTGTCAGACGCAACTGATCAGTTACTGAACACTGCATCTGAAACTAAGGATGTACTATAAGTTGGATAATTGAATTTCAATCCAAAAAGAACTCTCCAAATAAATGCATGAAGGACACACTGAAAGCCATAGAAGGAAAACTATGTGTCATTTATATGTGTGTGTGTGTGTGTGTGTGTGTGTCTACACCCACATACACCATATGCAATATTGACTAAAACTTTAAAATCACTTTTACTCACAAGAGGAAGATTTTTGTTGTGCAACTGAAAACAAGATGTGTGTGTTTTCAGCGAGCAGGCCATGAAGAACATTTCTGACCATTTTAATCTTTACCACATTCTAGATACGCACACATCTTTGAAACATTTTAAAATACCAATCACAGGGACCTGGGAGAAGGACACGCAGGTCAGAGGCAGCCGGCCCCTCACCCCACCTGTGTGTGTGTGTGTGTGTGTGTGTGTGTGTGTGTGTGTGTGTCACACTGTTCGTTCTTCCTCACTCACAGCCTCCCCAGGAATCCGATTTGTGTGTCAGGACACAAAACTGAGGTTGTTCAAAAGGGACCAAATGCTCTGTAGACCTTGTCACCTGAGGCACACCCCAACAGGCAGACTGTTTCTCAGCCCACCCCCCCCACCCCTCGGCCCACTTCCTAAGAAAGGCGACTCCACTCTTTTGTACTTTTAGTCCTGAATGTGCACTCCCAGGGCGGTGCTGGCCCCAGAACAGCTCTCCCCGTTTGTTAAAGCACAGACTTCCCTCCTGCTGTGGCCTGGCCTAGTCAGGGAACAGTATCAGCACAGGCTTTAAAAAATGGAAGAGCCTGATTGGCTTACTCGGTTAAGCATCTGCCTTCAGCTCAGGTCATGATCTCAGGGTCCTAGGATCAAGCCCCAGGTCAGGCTCTGTGCTCAGTGGGGAGCCTGTTTCTCCCTCTCCTCCCTGCTCATGCACTCTCTCTCTCTCTCTCTCTCTAAAATAAATAAATAAAACCTTTAAAAAAAAATAGAAGTTTCTGCTTCCAGTAAGGCCGAGCAAAGGGTAAGATGTTTTTACCTCTATATGGCTCGTTGTCTTCATTTATCTTTAGATAAAGGAGTGCAGTGGTTGTATACTCACTGGTGGTAGAAACGGAGACCACTGGGCTGTACTCGTATTCTCCAGAGGGGCTGGTGACCTTCAGTCGGAATTTGTACAGTGTTCGTGGTTCCAGACCTTCTACAACATGCTTTGTTGAGTATCCCCTGTATGGGAGGAGACACACATGATGAGGACCCCAGGGGATCAAATCAGCACACCCTGAAAGTCACTAAGAGCAGGTGGAAGCAAGGTGGGAATTCTGTCTACTTCCAGTATGACGCCCTCTTGGCTCTTGTCAGTCCCCCACACTAGACGGGAAGTGCCCTGAGTGCAAAGGACAAGTCCCACATCCATGCCATCCCACCGTGCACCAATTGCAGAATCATGAGCAAACACAGGATTTTTTTTTTTTTTTTTTTGGCTTCAAGCAAAACTACTAAGTTTGGGGGTGGTTTGTTATGCAGCAAGAGATAACTGATACATCACATCATCAACAAAGAAGAAACTACAACAAAGACAATGAAGAAATGATACCAGTGGCCTTAAGAAAAACATCTGAATTAAGAAACCAAGAAAACAGAAGGGTTAAGAGTCGATATAAATATATTTACCATAAAAGTGAAAGCTCTAAAACCAAGATAAATATTCAGAAAAACTGCATGGCTTTAAAAATCATTATCATCATCTAAAATACATCCACCTGCACAAAGTGGTCTCAAGAATAGGTGGATTTCAGGGCACCTGGGTGGCTCAGTTGGTGAAGTGTCTGCCTTTGGCTCAGGTCATGATCCCAGGGTCCTGTGATCGAGGCTGGCATTGGGCTCCCTGCTCAGCAGGGAGTCTGCTTCTCCCTCTCCTTCTGGAGCTACTTCTGCTTGTGTGTGCACGCTCTCTCTCTTTCTCGCTCTCGCTCATAAATAAAACCTTTAAAAAAAAAGAGTAGCTGGATTTCCTCATTAGGCGAGCATACATCCATATCTATAGATATGGGAATCCTAGAAAGGGAGCCCAGAATTTGTGGCATCTGAAAAGATCTTTAGGAACGAAAATTGAATACAATATCCAAGCTTCAATGGAATTCAATGTCAGGTGTCAAAGACTTAACATAGTTTCCAACCAAAATAAAACCAAAAGTGCCCCCAATAAAACCCATCGTTGCTAAATATCCTAAGCTCACGCTGAAGCAGGCAGCACCTTCATCACCCCTGGAAAGAGGAATTACACAACTGTTTAGAAAACAGAAGTCACTGGGCACGTTTAGGGAAGGCTGGAGACTCTCCCTTCAATAGAGAGGACCCCGAGGAGAGTACCAGACACACACAGGGGCCCCAGGACACAGCTGTCCACCACGGTACTCCACAATGATTGCAGCCCAGCTGCGGGGAGACAAACGGAAGCCGTTCGGGAAGCTCGTGGAGAAGCACAAATTCCCATGGCCCATGCATGGTACCTAAATCAGTGAAATAGTCTTAGGACTTTTCCACAATAGAGGAGAGCATATGAAAGTCTAAGGTATGCCTGTATTTTTGTTGTCAATAAACAAATATTTGATGCAGCAGCTGAGCAAACACGGAACATGAGAAACCCAATACTGGAACGCCTAAGGACTCGGGAGCCAGACTTGCCCTCTCTCTCTATGCTCCCCCCGCCCCAGTTCCAATCCAGTCCAGCAGGAGCCGGGGACTCTCCCCGAGGCTGATCTTCCCCGACTGCTGCTCCTTGACATCTCCACTCGGCCTCCAGCTGATGCCCCAACTGAACTTCTGCTCCTCTCCGCAACCCCCATCTTCCCATCTTTGTTATTGGAGATGCTCAGGCCCAATCTGCTGGGGCCACCTGTGGAAGACTAGATTATTGGCCCCAAATATTTGGTGTCCTCCCCCAAGGATCCTGTTACCCCTGCCCGGTCGAACTCAGACGTGGCCGTAGGACTTGCTTTGAGCAAAGAACCAGAAGCAGGAGTGAAATGGGTCATTCTGGATGGAAGCTTCTAGAAACAGTGTGCCCTGCCCTCTGCCCACGGCCACAGTGACCGGCAACCTCTGGGCGGAGGCTGCTCCGTCAGCCCGGGCAGATGTGGGTGACAGACACCGTAGAATGGAGCCATGGCCAACACATCGGTTATGTCGTGTGGGAAATAAACTGTTGTCCTAAAGCATGGAGATTCTGAAGTTGAGGTTTAATGCGGCCAAACCCACCCGTCCAGGAGGGGCAGATCTAGATCTATCCCCTTGACACTCCTCTTTCTCTCCCATCTCCTATCTGAGCCACCCGCAAAGTCTTCAATCTGTCTTTCAAACCATCCTAAATTCAACTACGGCTCACCCGGTTCCATCACCTCCCACCTCTGTTACTGCAGAATCCTCACTGCCTTGCGCCTCCCTGGAGACTGTTCTCACCTCAGCATCCAGAACGATCGTCAGAGAGCCAGAGTGTCAGCCAGGCCCTGCCCCTCCTCAGCCTAGCGGTCTCCGCTGGCTTTCCTGCCACAGTTCTGCCCCCCCGCCCCCCCGCCCCCCGCCGCCAGACTCCAGCGGCGGCCTCCCATTGCTTCACTGACCCTCATCCCGTGCTGCTCTTCTGCTCACTCACTCGACTCCTCAGTGTTCCTGGAACATACTGGGCCCAGTCCCATCTCAAGGGGGCTTCCCTTGCTATTTCTTCTACTTGGAATGTTCTTCTTTCAGATACTCTCCAGGCTCCAGATCTGCCTCAGTTGCTTCTTTATCCAGATGCAAACTTCTCAGGGAGGTCTTCTTTACCTCTGCTCCAAACCCCCAACTTTTCCTGTGCTTTTTCTCCTTGGTACTTCTCACCATCTCTATTTACCTACTCTGTATTTTCACTTACATCTCTTATTTATTGTTTTTCTCATCATGAGGGAGGAATTTTTGTCCGTTTGTTCAGTGCGCATCCCCTGCATCCAGAGCAGTGTCTGGTGCATAGTAGGTACCCATTAATACATGCTGATTGAATGACTGAAATGCAAGATAATCGTGCATGAATGATTCATGACTGAAATGCACAGTTGTCACAGGACTTTAGAGGGGTAGAGAATAGGTTATTAATGAGTTTCTTAGTGGAGGTAGAATCTAACCATGTAGAAGAAAGGATCAGCGAGGAAGACATTGGTCTGAACAGAAAAAACTGCTGAACATACACACAAGAAAAGTCAGGGCCTATTCAAAGGACAGTAAACAGATCTTGTTGGAGGATTCATGCTCAGAAGTAAGAGACAACAAGGCAGGCAGGTTGTGGACCAACTGTGAAGGGCATCATCTGCAAAGTTTGACCTTCATACTTCCAGAAATAGAGACTCCCTGAAGAGAATTTGACGGAAGGATGATTAGTTAAGAAGGTAACCTAGCAAGACAGAACGGACGCCTAGAAGGCAAGAGAAGACGGACAAGGCCCATTCATTCAGCAAAAGTGCAACTTAGCTGCAGGACCTGGAGATCCATCTGGACACTAGTCAGAAGATGGAGCCTGCATCCTGGTTGGGCGGAAATGCCACGATACCACGAGGGGAAGCAGAATGTGGTGTTTGCAAAGGGGGAACTCACAAAACAGGGTAAGGGGCTGTGAGGTCACCACCGATTCAGGATGGGCTGGCGGTGAACACAGAGAGAAACAGACAAGTCACAAGGAAGTTCTTAAATCCATAATTCCAAGGTCAGATATTTGAAACCGCTTTTTCAAAGTAAGGCATTGCTGGTCTTCAGGATACCTAGAGAAGGTAGTGCAAGGAAGCGGAAGACGTCAAGATTAACACAGTCTCTTTCTGCCACCTAGTGGCAAGCTTCTGCCGTCACTTCTCCAAGGGCAGGCAAGCTTGGGGGTGGCAGTCCGTAGGTCTTGCTGCCAGCTCCAGGATGCCAGGCCCTCCTCCGGGCCGACCGCCCCCCAAGCCCGACAGCACTCAGGTCTCTGGGGAACGTGTGACGGCCGCGACAGATGCCCCAGGCTGGAGGCCAGTGTGTGGCTGAGCTCCAGTGGGGGGAGGCGGTCCGCGGGGCTGCCGGCAGAGAAGGGAGGAGGAAGAGGAAGGAGCAACCAGCACAGCCCCACCTGCGGTGCCCGAGAGCAGCGTGTGTGCCAGGGGCACCCGGGAAAGAAAGGATGTTTCTTCCCTTCTCCACATTCCTACCTCTAATATCCTAATTCATGCTTTGAGATTTCAGATGGAAATTACCTAATAGAGAATAACACGGCATGACCTCATTAAAATACCATTTTTGAGTCGTGGGGCCAAAATTATTTGCAGATGGTAACTACATTTCAGAGAAATGCATTTGGTTTTGTTGTTGTTTTGGGGTTTTTTGTTTGTATCTTAAAAAAAAAAAAAAACCACCACCCAACCAACCAATTGTTCATTAAATCTCAGGGTTGTCATCATTCAGGGAAGAGTGAAAGCCTCTGTTAATACCCTCAACATCATCTTGATGCCACCCTGAGAAAAAGCTAGCAAACTGCTGGAAATGCTCTGGGCCTTGACCGCATCAACACCAGTCTCCCGACTGTGAGGCTGCCCTACGGCATCCCGTAACGTTAGCCCTGGGGACGTGGGCAAGATGTACACAAGATCTCTGTTATCTCGGGTGCCTGGGTGGCTCAGTTGGTTGAGCGACTGCCTTCGGCTCAGGTCATGATCCTGGAGTCCCGGGATTGAGTCCCGCATCGGGCTCCCTGCTCAGCGGGGAGTCTGCTTCTCCCTCTGACCCTCTTCCCTCTCGTGCTTCCTATCTGTCATTCTCTCTCTCTCAAATAAATAAAATCTTTAAAAAAAAAAAAAAAAGATCTCTGTTATCTCTTACAGCCTGATAGGAATCTATGATTATCTCAAAATTCATTTTGTTTTCATTTTTATTTTAAAAATTATTTATTTATTTAACAGAGAGACACAGCGAGAGAGGGAACGCAAGCAGGGGCAGTGGGAGAGGGAGAAGCAGGCTTCCCGTGGAGCAGGGACCCAGGTGCGGGGCTCGATCCCAGGACCCTGGGACCATGACCTGAGCTGAAGGCAGACACCTAACAACTGAGCCACCCAGGCAGCCCCTCAAAATTAATTTCAGTTCACAGCCATATTTGTATCACATTTTTGGTATCCCTAAGGTAGTCATTTGGCAAGTGGTAAAGCAGTCAAAGGGAAGAAATAAGAGCTAAAATGAAGACTAAGGAAAAAAGGACTTCTTGATTACCCGGTTATACTGATTTATTAATTCGTGTGACAAGTATTCAGAGGGCCCGCTAGGTGCCCACACTGCCTAGGAGCGGGGGTATCAGGTGTTAAGCAAGCAGGAATCTTTTCTGCCTTTCAGAGTTTAAACACTGGTGTGGAGACAAAACGAACAGGCCAATGGGACAGATAATTCCAGCAGAGCCGGGCTAGGAGCACATCAAACAACATCAGGACAGAGGGGGTGCCCGGGTGGAATATCTGACCTGGTATTTGCATGGTGTGAAGGAACCAGCCATGTGAAAACAGGAGGAAACCTAACAAGAAAGGCCCCGCCCTGGGGACCAGCACAGCCTGGGAACAGCTAACCAAGAACAGCGGGGTGACAGGAGGTCCAGAGATATCGTGGGTAGACCTGGGGGCCCCAGCCCACATCTCCAAACACAGCAGCCTCCTCCAATTTCAAATGCTCTTGATTCTGTCTCTACATTTTAGAGTTTTAAAATATACCATGTGAATACTGCAGGAGCCTAAGAAGCTCTCAAAGGTAGAGGAGGCTTCATTTCAAAGTTACTGCTAATGCTGATTTTCCAAAAATTCTAATTCGTAAAAACCATGCTGGCAGATGATGCCAACTCATTCTTTTCTTTCATTTCAGAATGAGTCTTTTTAAAGACAATAAAAACCATTCCAGTGCATCAGGAAACCAAAGCAAAATGTTAAGCAATTCAACATTGCACCTACGTATAAATGATACCATAAGTGTGCATTTTGGGGTCTTCTTCTTCAATTGAGAACCTGAACCACTGCTCCTGAGGTCCTTGCCGTTTCGCTCGCTTTTCCAGATCCCAGTATAACTCGATGCTGTGATGAGTCACTTTGCCCACAACAGGTGGATGAGGCTTTGAGGATGGCGTGATTTCTAAAAAAAAAAAAAAAAAAAAAAAAAACAATGATACAGACTTTCAGGACTACATTTCTGTAAGGACCCAAGATCAGCTGAGTGCATTATAGCTGCTCAGAGATCAGACTGTTTTCCTACACATCAGACACAGATGTGAGTACTCCCTGCTCCTTGAAGAATATCTGAAAAGCTTAAGTGACAGAAAATCCAGCTGACGTAGTGAGCTACCACATACTTCAACGGGTAGGTTGTATCATAACCCATCAATACCATATTTCACTTATGGACCTTTCCAAAATGATGGTTAACATATCAGACTAATTAGGTTGTTTTTGAGCTAATGAAACTCAGTATGCTGCTATCATCCTCCAGTGAACTGGCTGGTAAACAAAGCCAACAGACAAATATAGCTGGTCCAAATATTTGTAACATAGATGACAAAGGATTAATATCTATTCTAGATAAACAGCTCTTACAGACTAACCAAGGGGAAAAACCCAAAGGCTAACAACCAACCAGGCAAAAGATGAGCAGCGCACAAAATATCAAAAACGAATAGCCAGTATAATGTCCAAACAGACACGGATATTCCCTACTGGCCACAGAAATTGAAAACAATGGTATATAACTTTATATCTAGTCAAGCCCAAGACGAGATATCACAACTATTAGAGGTGACAGTGTAGGGAGAGGACACTCTCAAACATTGCTGGTGGGGAAACAGGAACTCTAGCCTTTTTAGGAAGCAATATGGCAGCATGTATTAAAATTAGACATACATACAGCCCTCTCTCCAGCAATCCCATGCCTGCAGAAATCAGAGCACCAAAGCACAGAGGGACATCTCTACAAGGACACTAAGTGCTACAGTTTTTAGCAGGTTACAGCAAACAAGAGATGACCTATTAATAAGGGCATGGTCAAATAAATGACATGTCCATAGCATGGAATATTCCATGGTATTTTTTAAATTATTTTTTTATTAACATATCATGTATTATTTGTTTCAGGGGCACAGGTCTGTGATTCATCAGTCTTACACAATTCACAGCGTTCACCATAGCACATACCTTCCCCAGTGTCCATCACCCACCCCATCCCTCCCACCCCTTCCACTCCAGCAACCTTCAGTTTGTTTCCTGAGATTAAGAGTCTCTTATGGTTTGTCTCCCTCTCTGGTTTCGTCTTGTTTTATTTTTCCCTCCTTTCCCCTATGATCCTCTGTCTTGTTTCTCAAATTCCTCATATCAGTGAGATATGATACTTGCCTTTCTCTGATTGCTTTACTTCTCTTAGCATAATACCCTCTAGTTCCATCCACGTCGTTGCAAATGGCAAGATTTCATTTTCTGATGGCTGCATAATAGTCCATTGTGTATATATACCACATCTTCTTTAGCCATTCATCTGTTGATGGACATCTAGGCTCTTTCCATAGTTTGGCTATTATGGACATTGCTGATATAAACATTGGGGTGCATGTGCCCCTTCGGATCCCTACATTTGTATCTTTGGGGTAAATACCCAGTAGTGCAATTGCTGGGTCGTAGGGTAGCTCTATTTTCAACTGTTTGAGGAACCTCCATACTGTTTTCCAGAGTGGTTGCACCGGCTTGCATTCCCACCAACAGTGTAGGAGGGTTCCCCTTTCTCCGCATCCCCGCCAACATCTGTCATTTCCTGACTTGTTAATTTTAGCCTTTCTGACTCACGTGAGGTGGTATCTCACTGAGGTTTTGATTTGTATTTCCCTAATGCCGAGTGATGTTGAGCACTTTTTTATGTGTCTGTTGGCCATTTGAATGTCTTCTTTGCAGAAATGTCTGTTCATGTCTTCTGCCCATTTCTTGATTTTCCATGGTCTTTTAAAAATGAACTAGTTATATTCTAGATGCCTGGAAAGGATTTCCAGGAAGTATTGTTGAATGAGATGCAGAGAAAGATGCAGAGAAAAATACAGGCTATTGCTATCAAAGAAGACAAGGGGCACAGCACAGCACACACCAAGTTGGTCAGCATCCGGCTGTTGCGCTTCATCTTAGCTTCACCTGCCCTGCTAGATTTTTAAGTTCCTTGAGGGCTGGGTCCATGTCTTACACTCCTTTTTTTTTTTTTTTTAAGATTTTATTATTGGGAGACAGAGCGCAAGCAAGTGGAGGGGCAGAGGGAGAAGGAGAGAAACAACCTTAAGCAGGCTCCACGCCCAGCGCAGAGCCTGACACAGGGCTCGATCTCACAACCCTGGGATCATGACCTGAGCCAAAATCAAGAGTCAAGACACTTAACCCGCTGAGCCACCCAGGTGCCCCTGATGTCTGACACTTCTTTTAAAAACTCTCTGTATCCCAGGGGGCCTTTCAGGCCTCAGAAGTATCAGTGATTTACCACACTTGCTATTCACTAATAAAGGGTGTTGTTCTTCCCTGAAGCCCTGTCTCAGTAGCGGACCTACTACTCCCCGCAAACCCCGGAGCATCCTGCAGTGTAGCCCTCCTTTAGGAAGGCAGGGTTGCCCTGAGCTTGTAGCCTGCTCCAGGCCCCGAGGGCAGACAACCACCAATTTCCTTTACTTAGATACCTAGATACACTAGGGGGCAGCCTGCAAGCTCATTTTTCCCAACTTGATTTTCCCAGTATTTATCGAGAGCATGGCATGATGGAATTGGATAAACCTGGGTTTAAATTCATGCCCTGAAACAGAGTCAAAAATATTCAAAGTGTTTTGTGATAACTCAGTAGCCTATGAACTTGCTAATTACAGTGTACTTCATACAATGAAATCTTACACAGCAGCTAAAAGGAGCTAGATCTACACGCAATAGAGGTAAATCTCAATGAGTGAAAAACACACGTTCTAAGGATCCGCTACATCATACTGCTTATGTAAGATTTTACAACACAACACTAGATATTGTTTGTGAATACACAAATATGCAGTAAAGGTTAAATACGTGGATGGGAAGAATGCACACCACCAGGATAGAGTTATCTCCAAGAAGTTGGGGAAGGGATGGAGAGGTCATGGGGAGGGAGACTTGCCACTCTATTTGTAGGGTTTCAGTTCTTTAAGAATTTAAAACCTATTTGGCAAAACGCTTGCATTTTAAACCTGTATGGTACATGGAGCCGTATGATTTTGATAAGAATTCTGGTATTTTTTTTTTTAAGATTTTATTTATTTGATAGAGAGCGACACAGCGAGAGAGGGAACACAAGCAGGGGGAGAGGCAGAGGGAGAGGGAGAAGCAGGCTTCCTGCGGAGCAGGGAGCCCGATGTGGGACTCGATCCCAGGACCCTGGGATCATGACCTGAGCCGAAGGCAGACGCTTAACGACTGAGCCACCCAGGCGCCCCTGGTATTTTTGTTATGACCTGCTATTATCCATATTTTAGGACGTTGGCTTTAGGATCCTAAAATATACGTATAAACAGGTTACTAGTCAAAGTGCAAACATCAGGAAGCCAAAGGAACAGAGGCCTGGGTCAGCACTGAGCCTCCATGGGAGCGGACAGAAATGGCAAGTGATACGCCTAGTAGCTGGGGAACAACAAAAATCGTATGGTACCTACTCGGTGCCAGGCACTGTCATAGATGCTTTACATTTATTTATCCAGTTAACCTTCACTACAACTACAGATGGAAATAATAAAAATCTTTCTACCCCTATAAAATATCAGAGACACAGAGAGGTTAAGGAACTTGCCCAAGTCAGACGTAGTAATAGGCAGAACCAGGCAGCCTGACTCAGGAGTCCCTATTTTGAACCCGGAACCACACCGCCTCATAGGAGCAGAGATCTGCAAGGTAGACCTGGGTGAAAAATCTAGTCATTAGATCTAAAGAGTTCTTCAAACCATTCATTTTATTTTTATTTTGAATCCATGTAATTAACGTAGTGTTATTTAGTTTCGGGTGTACAACATAATGGCTCAATTTCCATATATTACTCAGCGCTCATCAAGGTAAGTGTGCTCTCAATCCCCGTCCCCTATTACCCCTGGACCCCCAGCCACCATCCCTCTGGTGACCATCAGTGTGTTCTCTAGAGTTAAGAGTCGGGTTTTTGGTCAAACCATTCATTTTAAAAATAAGGTTTGACTTGTGAACCAGCTTAAACCCCCAGGAAACTGAAAAATGAGCATGAGAAGCTGACAAGAAAAATGGAGACTATCATCGTTTGAAGTGCAGGGATGTTTCGCACAGGAAGGAGAAAGGAGGGTAAGTTCCCCACGGCACTGGGGCCAGGGAGGCTGTTCATCTTCGGGAACTCAGTCCGCAAAAAAGAACATGGTCTGAAAAGAGCACAGAACCCTGAGTGGGGGCCAAGAAGGCAGAGAGCTTCGGCTGCCATCCACTTTGACACCGTGAACGTGGGCAGGAAGCCAGCCAGGGGCCTCTTTATGTCCGGCATGGAATGTGGAGGGAAGATGGCAGTAACAGGTCAAGAAAAGGTTATAGCATGTGGGGTAAACAATTAGGGAGATAACCCCTAGAGAAATCTGAGACAAATATTTATACCAGGCCAGGGTATAAGCTACATGGAGTGTACTACCAATACACACACACATTCCTCTATTTTTAAATTTTGTCACCCCCACACTTTACAGAGAAGCTAGAATTGCAGGGGGTGGGGGGGTAAGTGTATGTAGGACCCCAACTGTGGCTCACTCTACTCTAGGATTCACCAACTGGCTGTATGACAAGTAATACATCTTTCGTAAGGTGATTAAAATCAACATTTTTTAAAAACTCCAGAAGCTCACCATTTTGCTGTTTATTTAACCAATATACAGAACTTTTGGACTCTCTTTTTCCTGTGAGTATCAGATCTTTTAAAAGATACTTTTACTTAAGTCTGATAACCAGTGTCAAAATTTAGACAATCACAGAATCTCATGTCACAAGCTCTGGCTTAAAATTTAACTTTCCCAAAGATACCAACAAAAAGGAAGAAAGAAACCCTACCTTCAATTCTGCAAGGTTCCTTTAAACAGTTGGTAGATTCTTTCCATTGTG